TCTACCTACAAGAAAATCTGTCACTAAAGTACACCAACATATATATATATATATATATGAGTGAGAGCACTCTGGCAAGAGACGCGTATCTTAATTTCAAGTCAACTTTGGGTCTCAGTCAAGAAATAAGAAAGGTCTATCACAAAACTCCAACAAGTTGATGAGACAAGAGACAATTTTAATAAAATAATACTATTTTAATCATGAGTTAAATGTTAACCAAATGCATTTCTTAGTGACTACTACTACTAGTAATAGTTTCCAAAAGTTAGAGAATGACAGATATCGAGTTGTTACTGTTACATTCAACAGAAATTTACTCGCTAAAGATACACGAAAAACATAAAAATAAACTTACTTGTACAATTTCATAGCTAATAGAAATATATATATATAATGTCGTTAGCTGCTTATAAATTTCAATACATCTGTCTAAACCATATTTCCAACATACAAATATTCGGTGGTATAATGAAAATAAAGAAGTGACGGATCGCGAAATCCAATTCCTAACTGAATAGGGCGAGAAAGGTGGAATCCGTTCGAAATAGTGGCGGTAAGCTATTCCGGCTAAAAAAAAAAAGTACAGGTACGCCGTGCTCACGCGTTCCCACGCCACTCCACCTCTGCAAATATTCCTTTTACAAATCTTACGCTTAAATTTTGATTGTTGGTTAATATAAGAGAAACTTAAACTAATAAAATTAGACACTTGGTATTTCTATATTTACTTTAAAAATTCATTTTTATCCCATGTGTATGGTTGTAGTACTAATTTCTTTAAAAGAAAAGAAAAGGAAAGTGTTTGATTTAAAGATGCCATTTTATCTGCTTATTCGAAATAATATACTAAGATATTGTATTTTGGAACTCTTAGCAACACAATCTTCAGTAATTTCTCAATCACCAAACGAACTGAAAACTAAATCAGTGATTTATTGATTCTAATATTTATAATGTATCTTCGTTTCTGAATATTTAGCAAACTCTCTCGATCATTAACATTGATTGAATATTCTAGATATTCTAAGACCACTCTTATAAATTTTCTAAATCTAGCGTCATCACCATGTTAGCATAGTAAACAACTAAATTAAAACATTGAAACTATAGCTTACAACAATATTTATGATAAAATTTCTGCACGGATTTTAAAACTTTTTCAGCATCCTTACCGCTATTGATAAATATTTAATAATAATATAAAAGATAATGTAATACACGTTCTTACTTCTTTATTCAAACGAGCAAAGTCAGTGTATCTTCTGAATACAAACCAATTTGTTCCATTTGTTCGATTTTCAACGTTTATTCTAAAAACCTTTTTAGGGAAAAAGTGTTTCGTTATTATTCATCAAAATATTATGCACTTTAAAGTTAATTGTTTATAAATTATAATTTAAAAACAGATTAAGTTCAATGAAATTTTTAACACTATATTTCTATAAAAACATTTGTTTTTTAAGCCATTAGCAGATGACACCAGGCATAACCAAACTAAAGATTTATTTATTTATTACCATCTTCTACACAACTTAAAAGAAGCAATCAACATATCAGTTTAAGTTTATATATATTAGTAAAACTTTTTTGAAATACTAAACTAGATTAATAGCTAATAAAAAAAGTGTCTTATATGTTTTTCATAGTTCAAGGTTTTTGCACGTAGAATAAAATGTTATTCGCTGCTTATAAACATTAATACATCTGTCTAAACTATATTTTAAACCTCTGATATATTATAGTATAAATATATCATATAATAATTTATTATATAAAAATGTTGTACTTACAGACTTTTAAAAATCCTTTTTTTTATTTTAATGCGATGTATTGTTGTAGTATTAGTTCGTCAAGAAATTATGTCGCGTTTTGGAACACTTTCATTAACCATCCCCCCAAAAACGTGCATCACGTATAATAATTAATCGAACTGCCTAAACATCACGTTAGTCTAGCCTATATAAAGTGTAAAGTTTAGTATACTATAATCTCTTATAGTGATGGCACACGACGAGACACACATTCGGCATGTAATGCTGTTTTAATACAAGAAGGTAAACAACGCCTCTGTAGCCACAAAGAATATCAAATAAGTTTATAGAAGTGTCTTGAACGTTCGTAAGTGTCAACGATGGTTCAGCAAATTTCGTTCAGGTGACTTTAGCCTTAAAAACTGTGATGACAGGGGCCGACATGTTGGACTTGATATTGATGCTCTGAAGACTCTTGTTGAGTCTAACCCAAGGCATCACACTCGTGAAATGGCTCTGAAATTGCATGTCTATCATGAAATAATATTTAAAAATCTAAGGAATATGGGAAAACTCCATAAAAAAGGTGTTTGGGTGCCTTACGAACTCTTCGATGATCATCGTTTCCAACATGTGAACGTTGCTTCGTCTCTTCTGGAATGTAATGCGCGTGAACCATTTTTGGACAGAATTGTCACTGGTGATGAGAAATGGATTCTCTGTGCTAATACTAAACGCCAAAAACAATGGCTCTGTCCTAGACAAAAACCACTTCCGACCCCAAAAGCAGGACTCCATCCTTAGAAAGTGATGCTTTGCATGTAGTGGGACATCAAAGGAGTAATTCATTTCGAACTCCTCAATCCACAGTGAACTGTCAATGCAGAGATCTGTAGTCAGAAACTGGAACGTATAAATCAAGCCCTTCATCAGAAACACCATTCACTCGTCAAACGGAAAGGTGTTCTTCTTCTCCACGATAATGTACGTCCACATATGACACGTTTGACGCAACACAAGATTATGGAGTTGGGTTGAGAAGTTCTCCCCCACCTACCGTATTTTCCAGATATGGCATCATCATATTACCATATTTTTAGTTCGCTGCAACACCATCTTAATGGGAAAATATATACAAATATGGAAGGTGTTAA